TGGTTTTTCTCCATTCCTTCTAATGGCTCATTCTTACCTGCCTTTGCCAGCTCTTCTCATGCCAAATAATCAGTGCATACTAGAATTACCTGGGATATATTCATGGCCTCAAATTCTCATTTACAATCTTAAATCTTTTCTCTAGACTTGTAAAACCATCATTCATATGATTCACAGCCCATTCAAACCGAATTCTTGGTCTCCCACGAGCCTCCTATTTTGATCATCTGAGTTAAGTGGCAGTTTCATCTACATATTGCCGAATTCTGAAACCTGGGTATTATTCCTAACACATATTCCTCGTTACACCCCACAGCCATTCCATCACATATGTCTTTAATTCTATGCGCAAGAAATTTCCTAAATCTAACCAGATGTCTTCACCTCCATTGTACCTACACTGTTTCACCTCTTGTCTAGACAATAGGAAAAGCTGCTTATTTGGACATACTGCTAAAATTCCCTCTTCATTTACCAGCTTCAGAAAGTACAACTCATATCATATCACTCCCCCTTTCCTCTCACATTAAAACATCGCGGTGCCGTCATCTCCTCCGCCCCTTCCTCTCCTGGATAACTCCAAATCACCTTTCATTTCTGAGATCACATCTTACTTCTCCAGAAAGACCTTTGCTGGCCTTACAATAAAATTAAATCTTTCTCATTATCATATTTCATAAAACATTTGTGACACTGAAATATAATATAAAGGGATGTTAAATGATACTTACCTTGAAATTTCAGCTGAAGACTAAAATTGAGTCTTTGAACATTCTCAGGAGAGGTGCAGGACTTACTAAAATGTATTCATCTTAATTCTTCGACCATCAACCCTCATCACCAAACTCTAGGAGAAGAAAAGAAGAGGAATGAAGATTTTAAGATTCACTGAGCAGAGATTCCTTTCTTTCTTTATAATAAAAGTAGAGTTTCTTCCACAACTTCAAGTCAAATGAAGGGTAAAAAGACCATTTGATTACTTCCAAGATTAATGAGAATTTGGTACTTTGAAAGCACTAAGTATTGTGGTGCAACTGGATCATGAATAAAATATATTTATAAGCATTGCTTTTACATTTTCTAATGATGATCAGATAAATCAATAACAATAACAACAAAAGAATATGAGCTAGTGGGAATTTTTAGGGTGGTAATTAAAAAGCCAAGTGAAAGTCTATGTTTCTGTATGAATGCTGGGTCCTGGGAAATGAGACTTGGGGCCTATGAAAAACAATGGAGCTAAACCTGACACTTTGGACATGAACGGGGCAGGATGCTTAACAGGTCCCATGTTGGTTGTACTTTCCTGGAAGAAGCAGAGGATCCCAATGGCTCAGTTATAGCAGCCTAGTCCTTGAGCCAGATGAACCCTTCCTTCAAATTCTCTCTCCCATAGTCTAGACACCAGAAGACCCAGAAGCAGCAGACTAAATTGAAAAAGATGTATGGGTGAATAAAGAGGGAGAAATATTATATTGCATATGAGACTGGATGTGAGATTTTGAATTGGATTTGATATTTTTGACTGGATTAGACTTTCTAATGTCTGAAATGAGACTATTCCAGCATAAAGAGACCTAAAATTTATGGATCTGCCTGAGATGCTATCAAAGACTAGGGAAGAATGATTCAGTATATTTAATGTCTGTAGTGGAAAGAAGAATAACGCTTCATCTTACTTGTGTCCAACCAAGGTCTGCACATTCAATTAAACTATGACATGTACTCTAAGTATTTTTTTTAATATCCAATATTCTTATTGGATTACAAATCTCATAAAGGCAGTGGGCAGATTTGACACCTTCGTCAACAAAACTTGAGTTGGTGAACATTTTTTGAATAATGCTTCCAACTCATATTTCAAAATGTAGGTAAAGATGTCTCAGGAAAACCACCAGGAAAATATGTGGCCTCGAGTCAAGTCCTTGTTAGAGTGACTTTTCACATTTCTACTTCTCTAGTCAGGTAAAGAACAGGCACAGCAAAACAGTGATGTAATTTAAAAACAAAGTTAGTGGGGCCCAGATTTTTTTCAGTCCTCATCTATTCAATGCAAAGCTATAATTTAACTGACTCCCATAAAGGCAGTTAAGTCATTTGATCAAGGTTGCAGTTTTAATTATATTTTGCTGCATATCAAAGTAGCTCCAAACATTGTGGCTTAAAAGACTAATAATTTATTCATGCTCATGCTCCTGTCAATTGGGAAAGGCTCGGCTGGGTAGTTCTTCTGCAATTCTTATTTGGGGTCTCGTGTGGTTGCAGAATGTCTACATAATTTCCCCATATAAAAAGGTTTGGACTTCTTTGGGGACAAGCACTGTTCAAATGCTTCTGAAGACACTGCTTTTGTTACACTTGCTAATATTTTATTTTACATGTCACATAAACAAGCCCTGATGTAATGCATTAGGAACTGTGGAAAGATATGAGTATCACAATGCATGTTCATTGGGGGCTTCCAGTAAAACATTACACCCCAGTTATACAGGCTCATGGACAGAGCTCAAAGTGAACTCAGGTTTGTCTGACTCAAAGGTTATCACATCTCCACAGTACAATGGCTTCTCATTCATTATATGGTGCTTTTCACATTATAACCTGAAAATCTAAAAATAATAAGGAATAAGAGAACAATGAGAAACCCCTTACACACACTGTTTCCTTGTTTCCTACAGTTTTGCTATCTTGACCAGTGGCTTAAATAAATTATTCTTATTGGGTCTAGCCAGAGTAGACTCTGGGGTCATCTTTTCTTAAAATCCTAGTGATTGTGCTCCCCTTGACTGTGTTTTTCTTGCCTCTATTTCTGTTACCCTAAACTCTGATGATAGTACAGCTGAGGAGTGATCTTTCCCTTGGTGTGGGCTCTTCTCATTCATATATCCTGCATAAGAGAAACCTGTGCATGTGAGCACACACAAGCACACACACAGTGCAGTGTCAGGTACTCAAAGAACCATTTTACTAGATTTATACATTTTCTGACTACATGGTCCTATTATTTTTATTCTACAGAGACCTTAGAAATGTTCAATTTAATGCTTCTAACACTACTGCCTAAGATTATTTCTAAGACTTGACTTAATTAAAGTACCTTTACTGAAATGACTTAAATGTACTATGTTTAAAATCTTTGTAAGGGATAGCGAACATTCCCAAAAAGGAACAGGAAAATGTAAAGCCACTCATAAAGGCACCATCTACATATGAAATAATGAATAAAGGAAATGGTATGGGATGCATTTCAGCCAAAGCTAGACAATGACATGATATATTCTGGCAAACACAAAGTTGAGAAAATGAGGCAGAATTCTGTCAAGATTAGGTAGTATTTGATATTTTTTCAAGTGTGAAAGACATTAATGGAAGCAAAGTATGGACCAATTTCTAAACTTAAGATAAAGCTTTGAGCTTTACGAACATGTCACATTAGAAATAGTGTCAAATTTGCTCTAACTTGCATGCACTTGGCCTTAGTATCACCTTGAAATTACAAAAATTTAAAGTGTTTTCTCTATTCATTTTTCTTTCTCTTACATTGATATTCCCATAGTGTCACTGATTATAATACTTGCAGAGATTCATATTTGAACCTATGACCCTTGCATTTCAAAGATCATGGAATATACTTTTAAAAATAATAATTATATAACAGTGAAGTGTGGTACAACACATTTAGATTGCGTGATAGGCACTTGTCTTTAATAAAGTAATTAAAATTATAGCTTCTTCCTCACTACATAATATTGAGTGAACAAAACAGTCTATCTACTCGCCAGTGTGCCAGATACAAAATTTACACGTGTAAACAGAGTATCTGCTAAGAAAGGATACATATTAGTTTCTGTATAAACCCAGCTCTGAGCAGGCTCCTGGCACTTTTTAGGAAGTAAGTAAAATAAGATGATCTATTATTGTTGTTGTTGTTAAAGCGTTTGTTTACTATCCCTGGAAATAATCAAATCCATACTAGGAAATAGACAAAGGATTTACATACTCCATACTAGTCCAGTTATGTTCTATAGGACATGAAAATTATACAACTTAATCAGGAAATGAACCACATGGCCTCTGTTAATTATACACAACTTGGTTTTGAAACAGCCAGAAAGAAAACAAGATTGTGTTTATCCTTGAAGCCATTTCGTGGCTATCAGTGAGATAGCTCTTCCAACATGGGAGCACTGATGACAAGTGGTACTGCCCAAGTTGTATTTGCACTAGTTGGTTTTGTTGCTTTCCTTCTACTAGTAACACCTGACAAACGCATATGCTACCAGCTTAAATTCCAAAAGGAAATAATTCACTGAGAAACTAGTTACAGGCAGAAGGCCATGATTGCATCGCTTTAGTTTAAGAGACTGAAAAAACGTCACGAGTCACTTGGAAAGAACTTACACGTTAGTGACAAACAAAAAGGGTCAGAAGTAAAGTCCAGTTGAAGCTTTCAATCCTAGTTTATTTATATCCAGGGGAAATTCACTTTGATTCCTTTATCCGGAACATACAATTTTAGAACACTAAAATTTTCCCTAGACTTATTGAACTGTCAATTTGCAAAAATATTCAAAGAGCTCTGCTTTTGTACTTTTGCCTTCAGATTCTAAAATGACATGCTGATCTATGCCTGGCCGGTGTGGCTCAGTGGACTGAACATCACCCCTTGAACTGAGAGGTCCCAGTTTGATTCCCAGTCAGGGCACATGCCCCGGTTGCAGGCTCCATCCCCAGTAGGAGGCGTGCAGAAGGCAGTGTATTGATGTTTCTCTCTCACATCAATGTTTCTATCTCTCTCTCCCTTTCTCTTTCTCTAAAATTTCAATGAAAGAAAAATGTTTTAAAAAGAAAAATGACATGCTGATCTAAAGAGAAAATTTTTTTTCTGTACTTTAGATTTTTCTCATAAGATAATTAGTGATTAGTGGATTCGTTTTACACAATCATATCTATTAAGGGTTTCCTTCTACCTAATCTAATCTAATTAATTAACTGATTGATTCACTATAGAATGTGTCATGAATTTGCATGTCATCCTTGCACGGGGTCATGCTAATCTCTGCATCATTCCAGGTTCAGTGTACGTGCTACTGAAGTGAGCGCATTTCCTTCTGCTTTGACATGGTTATTTTTAAAATTATTTTCTGAATGACTCCTTAAAAAAAAATAATTCCTAACACTTTAAACCCTTTAAATCACAATAATACATTTGATTTTAACATCGTTTTAAAGACATCTTGCACTTTTTTCCCCCCACACCATTAATCTTTTCGATTTCTCACCTCAGTAAAGTTTTAGGACCTTTTTTTGTATTACTTTTAATTTTATTCTGTTCTGCTCCTGTCACTAAAGACATGTTAGTGTCCTAATATTTTATCATATTTCATTTAAAGTGTGATAACATGGCACTGGGACATTTGACTTCAGAATTAAATATCGGTGAGAAGTAAATGTTGTTCTACAAACACACACACACATAAACTCAGTGCTCCATTTGCCTAGTCCTCTGGCCACATTCCCAATTCCTTCGCCTATTTCACCTTTGAGATGAAATCTCCAGTTTTCCTTACATTTCAGTGTGTGCTCCTTTAGCTTTCTATGTTCCTCCTTTTTAGATTGTATCACATCTAATTAAAGTCTGCATTTTGGGGCAGACTAGAGCCTCCACAGGAGCAGGGAAAGTTCCTGTCTCTCAGTTGCCTGGGGCTGCAGTTTTAAACAATATGTGTTTACTATCGGTGAACAGCAGAAAGGAGGAAGGGATAATATATATATATATATTTTTAAGATACTCTTCTGTTATGCTTTCCTTGCCTCATGTCTCTCTTCAGACAACTGCAATGTGAACAAAAAAGGCAGATGTGGCATCGTCCTCTTGTTTCTCTCCATCTAAAAATCAAATTCTCCAGCAGGAGGATGGCTGATGAATGGATTTGGCCACTTGACAGGTTAAGATTAATTACACAAAATGCAAAGCTGTTTGTTACTAGGCAAACAGGCTTCCTTAGACAATAATTTATTTTATGTTGAATGAGATTAAAACCTTTTTGGTTAGGCTTTTTTAAAATAGTGAACAAGGGGATAATGATTTACTATACTAAATCAAGGGGAAAAATCCTTGAAAATATTTTCCCAATAGCCTGGTTTTTATAAAATAGTATTTTTCCTATTGATATGCTGGGTTTTTAATTTTATGGCTATTCTTTCTTTTTTGATAATAGGTAATCATTTCCCATCTCAATAGAAATATGATTATGGTGCTTTGAGGAAATCTTTAACACTTCATCAGTATTGCCATTTTTAAAATCTCAGTCTTCTTAAAAGATAGTGGTTTAAATAACTTTAAACTCCCATTTTGGGGGAGAGTAATAAATCTAACAGTATGGGTCATTCTCTGAATATAAAAGCAAGATTATCTTCATATGCATTTTCAAATGACTTTTGAAATGAATGAACTGTTTTTCTGGCCAAATTAATTACTATATTTCAATCTTAGGAGACTATTATTCATTTTTATTCAGATCAATACTGAGTTGTTGAATTCATATGCAGAAAATAACTATGTTTCTTATTTGCTCTCTGAATATTCTGGAGACTGTAAATATTAGGAAGTAATATTAGGAAGTCTGTCAGCTTTCCAAACTCTTTCCATCCTGACCCACTCTGGGGAAGAGCCGCCAGACATAGCCAGTGGACTTATGATCCTAGTCATTTGCTCTTAGAGCTCACCCAAGACCTGCAGGTTATTTCTTTTCCCAGTGGGAGGGTCATCAGGTTTCCATCATTTCACTCTGCCACTTACAAAATAAAACAAATACATCTATGTCAAAATAACTGACCACCACTTTTCAAAACTGTCAAGGTCATGGAAGACATGGGAAGCCTAAGGAACTGCGTAGATTGGAGGAGATTTGTGCAAGAGGGAATCCTGAAGGGAAAACAAACAACAACAACAACAACAAACAGAGATTCTGACTAGGAAAACGTGTGAAATTAGAATAAATTATACAGGTGTTATTTCCTGATTTTGTTAATTGTATAATGACTGTATAAGATCTTCATTTTAAGAAAAGCTGAGTGAAGGAATACAAGAATTCTTTACAACCTTGTAACTTTTTTTAAGTCAAAAATTCATTTAAAAATAAAGGGCATAATCCTCTTTCCCAAAATCTCAATCTTACAGTGACATATATAAAAACAAAACAAAAAAATGAGTCATTCTATATTATTTTGTAAAATGTCAAAAATAACAATAGAAATTTTTATTTTACTCTACATACAAATGCTTTATTTACAAGAATGAGTTATCTAGAGGAGGAGGTCTATATTCAACAGTTCAACATAGAGTGATTAGTAATTCTAGTCCTTGCTTTTACTTCAGATATTAAAAATCTAGTTCAAAACATGTGGACAAACATAGAATTGCCACTCTTGAAGTTAGTTTATTCAGTACAGAATATACTAGAAACTGTGATAATAACAGTAACAGTGACTCTCAGGCCTCTGTTTCTTAGCCTTTCTCAGTGAGACAAAGCAGAGTGGGTGGTACCTGCCAGTTGGCTGAGGAGCACTTCCTCCAGGCAAAAGCTGGAGGGAATTTCCTGCTGTCACTGGGGCAGGGTTGCTAAGAATTTTTATTCCTCAAGATGTAGCAGAAAGAAAGTTAGCTAACTAATCCCCCAGACTCAAAAATCAGCACATATCTGAAGCCTGCATTTGAGCACCACTAAGACCTTACAGAATTAGGATCCTCCATTAAAAAGTTGGAGACTTTTACTGTAAAGGGAAAGACAGTAATTCTTTAGGTTTACAGGCCATTGGGTATTGGCCACAATTACTCATCCTTGCCATTGTATACTGAAAACAGCCAGAGACTATTAGAAAACAAATAGGCAAGTTTTTCAATAAAACTTTATTTACGAAAGCATTTGTTATACTGGATTTGGCACATTAGCTACAGTTAGCTAGCCCACTTCATATTCTCTTTCATAAAAAGAATGACTCATCACCTAACACTTTAAACTATAAACAAACAAAATGCTTTGAGATCCTTAGGAGTCACGTAGGAAATTCTCTGGCCTACAGAATCCTCTAAAACATACTTAGATGAAAGGTTATGCATTATAATGTGCGCCCCATACATTATAAATAAGTTAGATTGTTTTCTGCAAAAGTATTGACTTGCTTTTTCCCAACTGCTCATCAAAGACTGTTTTTATTGATTTTAGAGAGAGGAAGAGAGTGAAACATTGTGAGAAACATTAATCGATACTTCCAGTATGTGCCATGACCAGGTATTGAAACCCACAACCTAGGTATGTGCCCTGACTGGAATCAAACCCATGACCCTTTGATGCACTGGATGATGCTCCAGCTAACTGAGCCACCAGGCCTAGGAAAAGCACTGACTTTTGAAACAGGCTAACTTGAACTCTAGTTCCATCACTTATAATTTGGACAAGTTCATACAATTCTTGGCTTTTAGTTCCCTCATCTACAAAACAAAAATAAAATGCATACCTTACTGGGTAAGAATGATGGCAATGTTTAAGCAGTCTTTATATAACCTAAAGCCCTGCTTTTTTCTAGAATCAACATGAGATAACATTTAAGGAAGATTATTCCACATTTCAAAGCTCATAAAATAATTATAATCTCCATTTGAATTCTTCAGAAAAATTAAAGGCAATTCAGTTCATAACATCTAGCAACTAGCAACTCCTCTTTACAGTCACTTTTCTCTCCCCTGCAAATTGTTTCCATCCCTCAGTGGCTGAAGGGCCTCCCTCGTAGTAAATCCCGTCTCTCCCAGACTATTTCTTCTTTCTCTCCCTCCCGCCCAATACTTTACCAAGGCCACTGATTTAATTTCTGTAGATTTTATTTTCTCTCTGACCTACACATTTTCTTCTACCATAATATATAATTTTTTGAATTGATTCTAGAGAGAGAGGAAGGGAGAGGAAGAGAGAGATAGAAACACTGATGAGAGAGAACATCAATTGGCCACCTTCTGCATGTCCCCCACTGAGGATTTGACCCATAACCTGGGCCTGTACCCTGACCAAGAATCAAACCAGCAGCCTCTTGGTACATGGGTCAATGCTCAACCATTGAGCCACACTGGCCAGGGGGATAGAAAATATAAAAAAAAAAATAATAGCTGGAACATTTTCAAATTTTGTGAAAATTAAAACCCTCAGATTTAAGTTCAAACAACCCAAAGTACAAGAAAATATAAGGAAAAATACAGAAAAGCATATCAGAGCCAAATTACTTAAAACCAGAAAAAATACTAAAAGCAAGCTTAAAAGTAAAACTTTTATATGTATATACAAGCTGAAAGAAAATCCATCATTGGCAGACTTATACTAAAATAAATATTAACATAAGTCCCCCAAACAGAAAGAAAATTATAGGAGATAGCAATCTCAGACAGTTCTCATAGCAATACTTTTGCTAATATATCTCCTAGGCAAGAGAAACAAAGGTAAAAATAAACAAACAGGACTACTGTACATCAAACTAAAAACCTTCTGCACAGCAAAGGAAACCATCAACAAAATTAAAAGAAAACCCATTGTGTGGGAGAACATATTCACCAATGATACATCTAAAAAGAGGTTAATTTCCAAAATATATAAAGAATTTGTACAACTTAACACCAGGAAGACAAACAATACAATTTAAAAATGGGCAAAAGACCTGAATAGACATTTCTCCAAAAAGGACATAAAGATGGCCAACGGACATATTTTAAAAAATGTTCAATGTTACTAATCATCAGAGAAATGCAAATTAAATCCACAATGATCTATTACCTCACACCTGACAGAATGGCTACCATCAATCAGCCAACCAACAACAAGGGCTAGAAAAGATGTGAAGAAAAAGGAAACCCTAGTACACTGCTGGTGGAAACGCAGACTGGTGCAGCCACTGTTGAAAACAGTATGGAGTTTCCCCCAAAAAAATTAAAAATGGGACTGCTTTTTGACCCAGTGATCCCACTTCTGGGAATACATCCTAAGAATCCTAAAACACCAATTAGAAAGAATAAAAGTATCCCTATGTTCGTAGCTGCATTGTTTGCAATAGCCAAG